AACAACCTCATAAGCGGACAGAACAGTTGTTCCAGCTAGCCAGTGTTAGCTCTTTTCTCTTCCAAGACAAGTCCAAAGCGCTGCCCTCAGCCACGCTGACAGCTAATCACTTGTTTTCGGATTCACAGCATCATTTCGGGGTTCCCGGAAGCCAAAACTAGCAAAATGAATCCACTTACACTGAGGATGAGGGTGACCCTTTAGACTATCCAGTTTCTGGTATAGCCTCTCAGTGTAAGTGTCAGGAACAGGAAATATAACAAAGCCATCAAGTAGGAAAATCAGGCAATGAAGTCATCGGATTGAAATATTGGCAATATTTGCTAATAGATAAAAATGAAATTATTGATTATGTTTACTGATATCCAATGGAGCTGCAGGGTGCCACTATCAAAAGCAGATGGAGACAGGTTTACCTGCTTCTGAAATATTGTTTTCTATCACCAAAGATGACTCCCTCTTGTATGCCACAGAGTAATTCAGGACCAGTAGCTTCATTATATTAAGTTACATTCAATAAACAGTGAGTTTGCTAACAGCAACTTATGAGAAGTGAGGGCAACAAAACACTCCCAACAAACTAAACAGAAGCAAACCACTCAGCCAACATTAAGCCAGGCTGCTCCCTCTGTCAAGGAAGCTGTTTCTTGGTTCACTGAACAGATACTGAAAACACATTGCAGGAACACATCCAGGCTGCATGCCAAAGTTCTTTAGGTACAGGATGAGACCAATAGCTCAGAGAACATTTATAAACCATTTAATGAACCATGGGCAAATAGATTACTTAACCCTCTTGGCTATAGTTCCTTTTGTAATATGGAGCTAATAATGCCTCCTCTGACCATTTCTTGGGGTTTTACGGGGACCATACTGAACACAAGCATGAGAGCTTTCTGGAAGCATTGAAGCACCTTTGGAAGGACAGTCCCTCCACTCTGTGGGAATAAATAACACAAGCAAAGCCAGCAAAAGATATCTTCAAAGAGTTAATATATGCACCGTGATAACCTAGCAGTAAATGTTATAAATTTGTCTTCCATATCTGCACTATCTTTGTTAGACAGACAAGGGGTAGTGTTTATAAACACCTATATTTTTTTCTATACCATCAGAAGGAAGTCACTTCCCAAGCATAAGCCATTTAACTCTCCTGATATCAAGGACGATTTTATAGGCAGAACATTAGCATGGCATCAAATAACATGAATGAGAAAGCCATTCTATATTCCATTTAACTTCAAGCCTTCTGATTAGGCCATGCTAGTACAGTCACTCATCTCATAATGACACTTCGGTCAACAGTGGACCACAAATATGATCACGGTCCCATAAGATTATAATGAAGCTGAAAAATTCCTATCACCTAATGATGCCATAGCCATCATATTAATAACATCATAGTAGTGTAATTACTTAATATTTAAGATAAATTTATTGTAGCCCAAGTCTACAGAGTTTATAAAACCCACAGTAGTGTACGGTAATGTCCTAGGCCTTCACATTCACCCACCTCTCACATACTCACTCACGCAGAGCAACTTCCATTCCTGCAAGCTCCATTTATGGTAAGTTTCCTATAGAGGTGTACCAATTTTTTTTATATCATTTATATTGCATTTTTTTATATATTTTTTTTATTTCAGCACATTATGGGGGTACAGATGTTTAGGTTACATATTATACTGCATTTTTAATGTACCTTTCCTATATATGGATATGTTTAGCTACAAATACTTACCATTGTGCTACAATTGCCTACAGTATTCAGTACAGTAACATGCTGTACAGGTTTGTAGCCTAGGAACAACAGGCTGGACCATATGGCCTGTGTGTGTAGTGGGCTATACTGTCTAGTTGCGTAAGTACACTCTATGATGTTCACACAACAATGAAATCACTTAATGATGCACTTCTGAGAACATATGTATCCCTCTTGTTAAGTGAGAGTGACGTATGACTGCATTTCATTAATACCCTTCTAATACTTGTTAATCTCCCAATTTAGCAAAGACCCTAGGCTCCAATGCCTTGGGCAAACATCTCCAGCCCGAATTTAAGGTATTTTGTTTTCCCTGTAGGGCATTTATGATGATAGTTTCTTTTATTTATGGGAAGCTGTATTGGTTTAACATTTATAGTACATGTATAATTTCTAAGATAACCTTATTTATATAAAAAGCATAATTTGCTTCAAATGAAATATTAAACAATAATACAGTAGATACGTGCATAAAATAAAAATTGTTTAGGTAGCGCCAAATTGACTAAAATTTACAGAACAATCAATTAAAGTAATTGTCCACATAAAATACACCAAAAAGCATCTTTCCTCTGGATTTTCAGAAGCTTGAGATATACTACAGTAGTCAAGCCAGCCATTAATTATAAGAAAAGTATTTAACCTGCCCATGCTTCAGTTTCCCCATAGGTAAAACAGAGCCGGTGCAAGTACGTATGTCCTAAGGTTAACGAGGTCTGTAAGCGCTGGGCAGAGTGCCTGGCACGGAGGAAGCACTCGGTCAATGTGGGCAGCAGCTGTTGCTGCCTGTCCTTGACTAGCCACTAGTTCTGGATAGCTTCTGGTCTCCTCTCTGGCCTTCCACACATCCTCTGCACCCGGGAGGTGACTTGCATGGATCACATCAGTGGGCTCCCTGCCCCCTGGATTCCCGTCGGGTTTGGCCAGTGGGGAGCGTCAGCAGCAGATTGGAGAATGAGAGGAAAGTGGCATCACGTTATCTGTTCCTGTATCTCCCTTTCTGCAAAGTGGCCACAGACACAGGCTCACACCCAAAGCCAGAAAAATACAAAAGTTCAGGCTTATGTGTTGTTAGCTTGAATTTTTGACATAATCTCCTCATCATCACACTTTGCTTAGTTATAGAAAACCTGGCTTGTGGCTACTTTCTGAAACCCTTTAATGTAAAAACACTCAATTCTAATGACATTTATTATTTGGTCTAATTATAAATCTAGTTGCTATTGTAAGGACAAATATTGCCATCTGAACTTCTGTCGGGAGAGCCATTGGCACAATCATTAAGTGCCTTGATCATAATGCCACATTGTTTTTATTTGGTCTAATTATGAAGTATGTGTTAAAATATACAAGCTTATGTAAAACAAAATAAAAATAATCTTTAACCCTACAATTACCATTTGGCAAAGTCTTATATAATGCTATATACATAAATATAAGTTTTTTAATAAAACGGGAACCATTTTGTATACTCCTTCATTCATTCCTTCATTCATTCTCTTATACAACAAATGTTGATGGTATCTCTTCTGACAAGACCAAGCAATAAGCTAGGTAGTCAAAATCACTGCCTTCATAGAGCTAACATCTTATTGGAAGAAATATGCAAACAAACAAACATATTTTCAAATTGTGAAAAGTGCTAGGCAAAACAGAGTAAAAGGATAGAGAGAAGAGGGGCTCAGGAAGCCTATCTGGGGAGGTGACCATTAATGAGGGCCTGTTAAGGTGATAAAGCAAGACGTGTGGCTAGAAGGGTTAGAGAAGGTGTTATAGACAGAGGAAATAGCAAGTGCAAAGGCCCTGAGGCAGGAATGTGCCTGGCCTGTAGGCATAGGTTTCTACCCTATTATTTCCACTTCAGCCTATCAGAAACATTATAGTCTATAATAGACTATAAGACTAGTCTTATAGTCATTCATTTCAGAAATGTTTACTGAGCACCTGCTGTGTGTCAAGCGCCATTCTAGGTGCTGGACAGACAGTAATGAACATCATGGGCAAAACTGCCCACAAGATACAAGCAAGCAAATATATTATATATGTATAATATACTAGTAGGTGAAAGTGAAACCAAGAAAAATAAAACTGGAAAAGGAGAATAGGGAATTTAGTGTGCGGTGCTCTTTATGGTGAACAAAAAAGCATCATGGATACAATGAAATTTGAGCATAGATCTGAAGGAATTATTTTAGGTAAGCAGCATGCAACATTTTTACAGTAGTCAAACATAAATACAGTCAATCTGAAAAATCATCCTACTATGTTCTAACATGGTCTGTTTAAGTCTTGGACAGTGACTCCCACCTGCCACCGCCTCTGAGTCATGAGGGAGGACATGAGAAGTAGCCCCGCATCATCAGAAGTTTGGAGATATTCTTTAAAATAGCCACCCTTACATTATAGACATTTTTTTTTGATATGAATAAAGAAGTTTCTCTTCCCTGCACTCACAGCAAGTGATTTTCAGAGTCAGACAGAACTGGGTTTGAATTCTGGCTCTGCCACTTTCTGTGTGTTACCTTGTATCTCTGGGCCTGAGTTTCCTCATCTTTAAAATAGGCATTAAAAATAGCATCTAATATGATTATTATCAGGATAATTTTATATAAAACCTCTCCCCCATAGTGGCACTCAAAACATTATAGCTATTATCATTTTCCACCTAACACAATTCCAGGTGTACAACAGATAATAACACATGGATTTGCTAAGTGAACAAATGAACAAATGAAGAACATTGCCATCCAGGGGTCTTCAACCATTGCCAAATCTATCTAAATGTTCGAAATTGTGGCAGCATGGTGGTTAAGAGCTTGGACTCAGTAGTCAGGTTTCCTGGGTTTGAATCCTGAAGCCATCACTGATTGTCCACGGAGTCTCAGACAAGTTGTTCAGCCATTCCCCATGTTCGTTTGCCATCTGCAAATAGGATGATGTAGCATTTCTTACATGGATGCTGTAGGAACAATTAGATGAACAATTAGTCCTTAGCATCATTCCTTGGACATAGTAAGCATTCAATAAATATTTCTATTACAATTTATTTTATAGAAATATAGGTATGATATCACAAAGCTTTCTTTTGTTTGTTTTTTCAAAATATTTTCCCTGCTTCTGATTCTATGGGATCTTAAAATTTTCCAAGAGGCAAACAAAATAGTTATGTAAACTAAGCAATTTCTTTCTAGAACTCACATTTTCTTTCACTGTTTTATCTTTCTGTTTGTCTCTGTAGGACTTCGTCGTCACTGTAGTCTTTTCATTCTTGTGGTTGGTTGGTTCATCAGCTTGGGCAAAAGGGCTGTCTGACGTCAAGGTCGCAACAGATCCTCAGGAAGTATTGCTACTGATGTCAGCTTGCAAACAGCCATCCAACAAGTGCATGGCTGTCCACAGCCCCGTGATGTCCAGCTTAAACACTTCTGTGGTGAGTATGTTTCCATCTACGCTTTGCCTCCCACATCTGTTTGCCTGTCAGATGAATAAGAAAAACATCTCAGAAGTCATCTGGAAAATTTCTGCCTCCAAAACTAGGCCAAACAAAAAGGTGATTTCTCACTGCAGGTGCAAGATGATCATTTGGCCTTCAAGTTTTTTATTATCAGAATCCATCATCTTTAATGCTACCAATTACGGAGTTCTTAATAAGAACCCAGTAGGTATTCGCAGCTGCTGCTTAGATGATGGTCCAGTCGAAACGCTAAGGCAGAAGCAAATATAAAATCTGAACTTCAAGGCTGAAGCCTGCAAGAAGTTAAAAGGAATATTTGATGGCGTACAAGTTCCTGGGAAGGAAACATTGTTCAAGCCACATGCAGTTAAAATACACCCAATTGATTAGAGAAAAATACGCAGACCTAGTGGGATGCAAAAAGAAATACATGGTGTAAAAAAGTACTTGTGATAGATATGGTAATTTTTAAATTTCCTCCATGCTCCCGGTTGAATTTCTTGATAACTTCAGAAAAGCTACGCTGTATTAATTGAACAAAGCCAAATATTATCAAGTGTATGGCTTTTACGGGAGGAGAAAAATCTGACAGTTAGCAGGGATGCTAAATTGGATTCTTAATTTATAAGTGTAAGAACTTGTGTTATTCCAAAGAAAGAAGCTGTGTCTGAGAAAGACATAAGCTATAATGGCAGCAAAAAGCAGCAGTTATCAAAGAATAGAAGGCTCAGCACTGTTTGCCGAAGGAACAACATTCTTTAGCAAACCCTAAAAATAACCCTTTGCTTCAAGATTAACCTGTATTTCTACAGCTTTCTGAAATTCAATCTGGGAAGACACTTAAGAAAGGAAAAAGGATTGCTTCTCTGATTTGACTTTGAATCCTACCTTGGTGAGATAGTAACCATGGAAATAAGCTACGTATTAGGGTCTCACAATCATTTTTATTTATCACTGGCCACACCTGTGGATGGATACATTAACATATATAGTTATGCTTCTGTACTTTGTTTATAGACAGTATTTAATGAAAATTATTGTAATGCTGATCTCAAAAATCTAAGAGGACAAAGATAAAATTGCTTGATGTGTTTGTTAGTGACAAGCACATTATGACATCCTGCATGGTCCTTTTAACTCTACTTCTGATATCTCTAATAATTTTTAGACTAGAAGATGGCCTATGAATTATGAAAGACAACAAAAAACAATGTCTATGTTTCCTAAAACCAAGAAGAAAAATGAATTGAAACCAAATAATGTGACGTGTGTGAAAGGACAGGCCCAGTGGTGTTATACTGATGTATCCATATCAGTTAAGAGTCTTCTAGTCCCTAGTGACAGAAAACACAATTCAAACAGGCTAAAACAAACTAATCCTTGTTTCCCTAAAGTCTGTTCTTTGCACCTCATTTCTGGTACTAGTGTCTGTCTGCATTAGAATATTTGGGTTGCAAGTAACAGAAACTAACTCTAACTTCATCAGGGAAAAAAAAGTTTGTGGTAGGACATCCAATAGCTCATAAACTTGATGAGACCTGAAGAAACAGACTCTAGAAACAGCATAATCTAGAGCAGAACCAGTGTTCTAGATGTCCGATACCAAAGAATAGTATCCTCAAGTTGCCATTAGTGGGAAGTTTTACCTAACCTTGCATTACTCTGTTCAAGATGCAAAGCTCCAGGAGAGAGCTCAAGCCCTTTGACTGAAACTTAGCTCTGCAAAGAAAATCAGATTTCTATTACAAAAGCAGGGGAAAGGATATTCATCAGCCAAAACACAACCTTTTTTATTAAATATTTGATTGGCTTTGAATCATATTGAGCTAGCTTAGGCCAAAACTGAAAATAATTGAAAAGACACTAAAAATGTATCTTCCCAAGGTAGAACCCAGGGCTAAGAACTGGAAGACTGTCAGGAAACTGGAAGTTCTCATCCTC